GGCCAAGACAAGGACAAGTGGAGGACAAGACCCGGACACAGAGCCGGGCCACAGGGCCCAGCCATAGAGTTCAGCGCGGCCAGTGTGGCCAGCTCTTTCTTTTCTAAAATAAAACCCCAACAGTAAGCTGCTTGGGGAAAAAAGAAGAAGATAGGAGAACTTAAAAGTAAAAGGGAAAGCACAAGGCAAGGATAAGCCAGCAGGGCTGCAGGGGGGTTGATTATTGTAGGTTTGTTTATACTTGCAGGGGGTGGGAGTCTAAAGTAGTCTAAAGGGGTACCCTTTGAATAATTTGTTGTTTTTGTTCGATAGGGATTGAATAAGGAAACCTAAAGCTTTTGGCTAGCCAATGTGTTTGGAAATCTGATGGGCAAAAACTAAACATACAGATTCCACAACAGAAAAAAACCATAATAAAACAACGGAGAACTTAAACACATCTTGGCTACAAACATGGCGCAATTATATAACAGTAGTATTGCAAAATCATGGCAGGCCAAAACGCTGGTTACTATTGTCTCAGATATACAACTTATAAATGAAATTACTTATCCATTTTGGGGTCTGGATGTTGGCGCGTGACCGGGTCTTGTCCTCCTCCTGTCCTGTTCTTCTCTTGTCTTCTCTTGTGGCCGAACAATCAGCGATGTCGATGCCGACAAAAATCAGTAATTGATATTAATTAAGCAACCTGCTCACGGGGGAGAAGGTAGGATGTACCAAGAAGTCGTTTTTTGCTAATATTGGTTCCAACGAATCGCTTTAAAGCTGTTTTGGGTCTATGCTGGTCTAATCTTATTCATTTATCCTTGCCCATCAGATTTCTCAAAAACATTGGCTAGCCAAAAGCTTTAGGCTTCCTTTTTCAAGCCCTAGCAAAAAAATGCAAAAATATTCAAAGGGACCCCTTTAGACTCCCACCCCCTGCAATTGTCAACAAACCTACAATAGTCAACCCCCTCAGGTCTGCTGGCTTGTCCTTGCCTTGTGCTTTACCTTTTACTTTTAAGTTCTCCTATCTTATTCTTCGGGTCTTTATTCTGTAATCAACATGAAAGCAAAATGAAAGCAAATGAAAGACCCTCCACCAAATCCCCTCTCCCAAATGGCCTGGATGTTTCATTGAAGTTAAGAGTTTTTACTACGCCGAAAAAATCATATGGGGTGTTACTAATGAGGTGTTAACATTGATTTAACATGGACCTTTGAAAGAGGATTTTCCTCTAACATTGACTTTCAAGCGTGGTGTTCCACTTGTATCTTGGGGGGTCGCTTCAACTGGTCGCATGGACTCATGATTCTTCCAGCGGCAATTCCTACCGGAAGGACGGTGCCGCACCGGTGAAAGCTGGTGCTTTACAAGTCTTATTCGGCGGCAGGTGCACCATGCTCCACCGAACACTCGTCCCTTTTTGCCTGGGATGGGCAGTACAACTGAAGGTTTGGTGGAATTACTGGAAGGAAGAGTCCTGCAGTTTGGATATGCCGCGCCGCGCCACTTTTTTTTTTTTGCTTTTTCAGGGGTCACGAGAAGTTCTCGTGCGCCATCAGTCCAAGATGGCCCAAAAACCTGTTCAATTTGTTTTTGAGGGACAGTATCAATCAATCTGAGAGGAGTGTTTCCATGATCAACCAGGGTGGTTTGGGGGTACAACTTGGCACTGCCATGCCACTGTTTGTGTCCAATTGAAGTTTGTTATATATCCAAAAAAACGTCACAGTTTGACATTGATCATTGATCATGGAGAGATACAGGAGAATCACTGGGGCTGGACTGATTCCAGGTTTTGTCGAACTCTAGACTCTACAGTCCGAGGTGGTCTGAGGCCGCGATTTCTAGCTCACATGGTATAGTCAAAGATGCAGGTCAGGGGGGAGAAATAGGGGTCTCCATTTTCTCCCCATGATCCGAATTGTGGCGCTGATTGCTAAGATTGTCGCCGCCGGCAGTGTTTGAACTACACGGACCTCCCCTCGGATGAGCGGGGCGACTGCTGCACCGTGCAGACTGGCGCAGCTGATGTGGACTGTGAGGACGCCAGCCATGAAGATATCAAGCAGGGCCAGGCGCTGTGGAGCTGTGGTTCGACGGATCGCCGATCAAGGACCGGTCTATCAAGACCAAACGGTCGATGACCGAGGGACCGAGGGACCCTGGTTTCTCACAAAGATCACGGGCCGAATCTTCAGAGCCATTCCATGTCACTTCGAAAGAACACACCGGGCGAGTCTCGATGCCAATTCAGAGCCCCAGAATCAGCCGTGCCGCACATCAGAGTCATCGAGTCATGGAGAGGTTTCACTCTCACGATGTGACATGGAGATTTCTCTGTCCTAAGAAAGACACTTTAAACTATTTTAAACCCACCCCAAACACCTTCGAAACGAGGGTGCTTGGAACCCTTTGGGCCTTGATATCTCTTGATGACCACCTCTGGGGATTTCTCTTTGCCCCGACTCTCAGCAGAGAATCGGGCTCTCGGCCTAATTATGCTTGTGTGCGTGCTCTAGTAGACGGGATTTACCCCACTGAAAACTAACAAAGACCCTGAAAACTAGAGGAAAACAGTCGGACGATCCGAGTGCCAAAACCGACCCGGGTTTGTCGGTCCGTGGGTCCGTTTTCGGGAGTGTGACTGGCCGTAGCTCATGTGTTGAGGTTACTTTCAGCCTCCTTGGTTGCGTCGATGTGGTTGGTATAGGCGTACGAACAGAAGGTTTGGTGGCTATAAGATGTTATGAGCGGAAAATCACTTGTACTGCACAACCGAAGGCCCCATCCAGAAAGCGTAGTTTTAGAATAAAGAGTAATAAAGGTTCAGATGAAAACCCTTCAGATCAGAGGCTTCGATTCGGTAAGTCGGTTCGACACCCTGTGGGAGGCCTTTTGCCGGCTCAATGGGGAGTTTTCACCTGGCACTGGAGTTTGTAGCCCTTCCCGTCACTTGGAACTGAGTGTCTCAAAGGTATGCAGTGGACACACGTGGTTCCCAATGGTTTCCACAAAGTGTCAACTACAATCATTGTTCAGATGTTTCTGTCTTTTGGGAGTGTTCAACTTTATAACTTCAGAACATGATTGATCGGTGCTTAGTACATCTTAGTATTGTGATTTGAATTAGTTCTCCGCACGGCCCTGATGCCGAACAGGATCCGCTTATGAACCATCAGTACAGAACAAAAACCCTAACAGATCCAGTCATACCGAACCTCAGGTTAGGTACGACTGGACACTGGCACCTACACAGTGTCCAACACATCACCGTACCGCAGAGGGTATGTGGATTTGTGGGTAAAGGTATTGTTTACTGCAATAGACTTTTTCTCTCCCCACGAGGGGGGTGAGATGTGTTTCTCGGCTTTTCTCGGCGCATGGGAAACAGGGTGCATGGGCCATATGCACGGGAGGGGATCGATTGCTTAGGGGATCCGCGTTGCTTAAGGGAAAAATATCCAATCCAATTTTCTCAAGGAGAATCGCATCCACTTGGAACAAATTATTGCAATATCAGCATCCATGGGATGCAACGTTTGTTCCAAGCGCATTGGATTCTCCCCGGATTGTTTTCCTCGCAGGGAATGCAGAGCAGGTGATGATCTAAGGGTGAATCACTGCTCAATCATCAGATCGTCGACCGGAGCGGTCGTAGGCTCTGAGGAGATGATCTGAGAGGGAAACCAGTGGTGATAATGTGTCAATCACCAACCTTGAGAATGGGTCAATCGACTTTCTCGCTTCGTTCAACATCTTCTCATGTTCCTCATGTGGTCGGCCAAGTGTTCCATGTAGACGATGGTCGGCTTGTGCCCATAGGAGTGCCCGGAGTGCCCTGAGGAGTTGGACTCAGACATGTACGAATAAGTTGGTTTCAAGTTTCAAGAAACAATGTCGAAACACCTGCTAGAGGATCCAGACATGCCGGAGAAGAGGATTGATGTGCAGTAATGATCTATATATAGTTGTGTATTTATAATATATATATATTATAGATGATGATCGGATACATAGACTTTGTAGATACATATTCAGGCTACCAACTGGGTGGATGCTTGTAGCGCAAAGATGTCGCCCAACCAGCCAAGTATTCTGGATAAATTGGCCAGTGACAAGAAGGCTACCCAAACTTACACTTTTGGTGTGTTTTTCTCCGACGATGTCAAAGGATGGAGAACAAATGAGGAGATCGTTCGTTCTTTGATGTCTTTGTTCTTCCAAGGGGTCTGTGGAATTCAACGGATGAAGATGCAGAGCTGAGGTAGATGCTTACAGTGTATGACCTTCGAGATGGCCATCGAGGACACCAAGGAGCAGATTGATCCTCAGCTACGCCGAGGGTTCGGGAGGAGCCACGATTGGGCTCGTGCAGAGCCTGTTTGGGTTCGGGCGCACGTGAGGCAGTGTCCAGATTCACTTGTACAGGATAGAGTTATTGACCAAATATAGACATCTTGGATGCTGGTAGACCTTACGTCGGTGTGCGCCCCGATGACCACCTGTTTCTCCGGCGGTTCCTCGGCCGCCATTGACACGCTCCGAGAACTTGTACAAGACCTACCCGACGAACTGGGGGGCTGCCCTCGAGGGCTACAGCCCCTCGTTTGCAACAGGCTGAAGACAGCTCAAAGGTGAATCATCAGAATAAAAATCACTAGGTGATGGTTTCGGATAGTTTTATGTTTAACCCTTACTTGGGGATCTTGGGGATGATTGATACCCTTTGACTAATATGTTTCAAGTGTGCTGAAACCACAAACCAGATAAACATCAATCATAATTAGTCATCATCATCATAGCATCATGGGGCTACGTTTGCTAAGGATCTATGCACTGATATCCCCACCGCTATCACCCAGGATATCCGCATATTGGCACCTCTCACTTAAAGCCCGCCATGCCACCGCACACTTCCTATTCCTTGCTTGGATCATCTTGGATTTGTATGTAGAGTGACCCCCAAATAGATAGAAACCATGTCCAATACATATTTGTTTATCGACTTCTCTATCTATTTGGGGGTCTATTTAGGTTATTGCAACCATGTATGTCGCACCATATGAAACAGATGGTCTCGTAAGATGGTTGGAGAGATCGAAAGCTTCACGTTTCATCTGAGCTTCCTGGCTGCCACGTCCGCGCTTCCGAGGCAACGTGGATGCCATCATTGCCCTTTGCAAGGGCACCATGATGATGGTCACCTTTTACCAAGAGTTCTTTGGCAGAGCTGAGGTTGGAGGAACCAGCAAAATACGCAAATACATGAATACATGCAAATACCATGTTCATGCCTACGGGTGTAAAACCGAACGTGTGACTACTGCAATTTTTTTAGTATACTAAGGTTATCTTCGGTTTCATAGCATTGTCATCGTTTTCATAACATTGTCATCGGCTTCATAACATTATCATCGTTTTCATAACATTGTCATCGGCTTGCCAACATTGTCATCGGCTGCATAACATTGTCACCGATTAGTCGTGTGATTAAAATGGGGTGGGGGGGGAGGGTTGTGATGGAATGAGGATGTGGATGTCATGCTGAGAACATTGTCATCGATTTCACGACAAGTAGTCTTCGGCTTCATATAGCATTATCGTCGGTTTCATAACATTGTCAACCTTTTCATAGCATTGTCATCGGTTTCACAACATTGTCAGCAAAAAAACAAAGTACCAGCGACGATGTCGTGACAGCCATGCCTTCGCGCAAAGCCTACAAAGAACTGTTGGCTTCCAAGTGGGTGTGGAAGCCTGGAAAGTGTCAATGTGGAGGATCCTTCGCTGCTGTTTCATGGAAGACTTGCAACTCTCGTGGCTTCGGCCGCCTGTTCTATCGATGTGAAGACTGTGAAAGTGTCTTGGTGGGTCAGAGTAAGTTTTCACTCTTGTTGCTAGACAAAAAGGTCGACCGCCCTGTTTACAATCTTACTGCTTCTTTTTCATGTTCTGTGTCAGGTTTCAAAGATGTCATGAACTTCAGCGCCCTGCCCACACTTCGTTGGCCCATCGTTCACTACTGGTTCTTTTTGCAACAATGGTTCGCCAACAGCAAAAGACCTTGGAGCGAGGAGATCGCCAGGATGATGGGTGTTTCTGGTCAAGCCTGCAGTGCTGCCCGCCAACTCGGTGAAGTTCTTCTGCGCGCAGAAGCTTTGTGTGCCCAGAAGACTCAAGATTCACGGAAGCTCTCAGGACTGTTGGAAGTCGATGGCACAAGCATTCGCAAGTTTGTGTTTCCAGGCACCACGACTCTGAGGTACATGCAGTACTTCGGCGCACTGAAGCGTGGAACTCGCTGCATTCATCTGCACCGTCTTCCAGATGCTGACAGCAAGTCCTTTGGCACACCTCCTGAGAGTTTTGCTAGAATCCAGAAGACAGACTTCATGCGTCAGGTCCTTCCCATGACTCCGGGCCTGGGAAAAACATGTCTGATTTCTGATGGTGCTCCTGTGTACTTGAAACTGTGCCCCGAGCTGAAAGTTCTGCACAGAGCCTGCTGTCACAGCAGAGGTCAGTTCGTCGAGCACTCTCGAATTCATGGACTCAGGACTGAGGTGCACACTGGAGGAAGAGACAGTTGTTGGAAGCTGTGCAAGGCAGCGATTCCACCGAGCGTGCTGACAAAGTCAGATGGATCCTTCAACCCAAAGATTGATGTGTACATTTGCGGATGGCAGTGGCGTTGGGAAAACACCACGTGTACTAACTTGTGCAAAAAAAAACTGCGCAAGTCTACTTGAGACAGGACGGATGAAAGTTGAGGACAGCCCGGGACAACAACGGCGACGGATTTTGCGCTGGCGCTTGGGTTTCGGCAGATTTCGGCTATAAAATGAAAGGATCAGGGACCCCCCAAAAAACATCATCGAACAAGCAAAAGTACTGAGAGGGCTTGCACTTTTGAATCAAATTTTGCACGACACGTTCCATTCCACACCCGGCGGGATGTTTATGTGTATTTCTCCACTGTCCCCGTTCCTTTAGCACTAGCAACTCTCAGCCACCAAGCCAGGGGCTAGGGAGCTATCCCTCAGGAGGAGGAACTGTGTTCACGCATTCACGCCGACCATAGCCTTTAGTTATGGAACTCTCACTGCTCACGGAACTGTGCTCACGCGGTTAGCGCGGGTCTACAGGGGGGCCTGTGGCTTTTTCTTGCTTCGCCAAGAACTGAATTCGGCCTGCTCAGCCTGCTCGCTCGGCCCTGTATGTCCATGAGGTGAGAACTCTGAGGACGTAGGGACGGAGGCCCACACCAGTCAGTCTACGACCACCCTTCTTGCCTATTCGCCCCGCTAAAAACCAGAACGCATCAGAACGCTAGCTTTGGCTGAGGAAAGCCTGGAGGAACACATTTTAATTCGGAAGAGCGGTGGGTGGGTTCATCCTAGTGAATGGGACAGTCGAGCGTTTTCGCACTGTCCTTTTTCTGGATGGCTGTCATGGGGCACAGGACAGGTTGATTTGGTTTTTGTAGCACAGCCCTGCAAGCCTCATGAAGAGCCAGGTGCCCAAAAATATTTGGAATGCATTTCTCTCTTAACTCCAGGCAGCATGTAGGGATGGTCTCTTCTTCCCTTGTGTTTTTCTTATAAGGCAGGCAGGGCAGGCACCATCTTCGCAATCATGCGCCATGTCTGGCAAATAAACATATAAATATACCTGAAATTTTAAATCCACAACCGCCCCTCCCCTGCCAGTCCTGAGCCGGTCAGACCCTCCGTGCTGAGGCTGGTTTTGTTGGGAGGGATCGGGTCGATGGGAAACTTCCAGCGACTTGGGACGCAGCAAAGCGCCGCAGCAACGTTCTTTTGGGGCGAATCGCAACAATGCGATTTTTCGAAGCAAATGGGAATTATTCGAAGCACGCGCGGTTTTTTGGTTCCAATATGTTCCAAGCGAGCGGCAGGCGTATGGGGTTTGCTTTGTTCAGGCTGGAGCTGATTGGACCTGGGTTACCCTTGGTGTCTCAAATGTGTCTCACTCTTTTGATCTTTTTGCATGTTTGATCAGACAGGGACGGAACTGAAGATGGATGAACATTGATGGGCAGATTTTGCTAGAATAGAAGCCTAGCTTGTGTTCAAGATGATGTCGTTGCTCCATCAGTTCGACCATGAACCATGAGCCGTCGGTCACTTCCCTTTGGCTTGCCAGCCGTGCAGCGGTCGACCGTGCAGCTGTGTTCCAGCTGGGTGAGGCCGTTTGTGCCATGAGGTCGTTTTGCTCCAGCAGCTATGACCAGCTGAAGACCAAGATTGACCATCTCATGAACAGTGCCTCACAGGTGGTCGAAGACTCCTCGTGCACGTGACCTGGCCGAAGACTCGGCTGCACCCATCACGATAGAGAGTCAGAACATCCAGTGAATCGATAACATCATAGTGAATGAAAGCCTCCTCAACTATAAATCTATAGAGTTGTTTGGCTCAGAGGGCCAACATGGGGGGTGTTTCACTTTCTTTACTTACAGCAACTATATAGTTTTGATGGCACCCCAAAAGATTAGACTCTACTTTTGAAGGCTGTCAGCAGCCAGAGCAGGAGCAGGAGCGTCATCATTTGAGGTCCACACTTACCAGAAGTTATGAGAAACATTGCGAAACCAAGATGAGCAGGACTGGTTTATGACATGCTTATAACAGCTCTAATTCACCATCACTTTCATTTGCTCCCAGAATTTCCAGTCGAGCAAAAAGATAGTAAATCTATATATATATATATATTATATAGCATGTTTGAGGCACTTTTTTGGAGACTCTGACGTGTTTGGAAACCATGTTTGTTTACTATATATAGACTATACTTGGGACTGCAACGTGAGACAACAAAAAGACAACAACCTGGTTCCCATGTTCCTTGTGTCGTGGAAGATAGTTCTTCCGCCAGCCCATCGGGTCAAGCAAAGCCGCTCTGGACTTCACCTGGCTCTTGACCAAGGTATGGAGATGATGTTGAGCGTCTTGACCGCGACATCGCGCATTTTTCCCGTCTTGGGACCCAAATGTGACCATCTATAAGGCCCTCGCTTTGGGCTTAGTTAGTGAATTCATTTCACCTTTGAATCTATAATACAAATAGATGTTCAATTTGTCATAAAGTGCCATAGTTGACCTATAAGCCTATAAGCATAGATGGTCGCCCAAATTGTTTGTTCCATTCCACATTTCGTTTCCATGTGGTCAACTATGGTGCACTTTTTTTTGGTGCCCTTCCACCCAACGGAGTCCATCGAAGCACAGTCAAAGCGCAGCTAAGCGCAGCTCGGATTGGATTTGAGTCCGATCGAATCGGATGGACTTGGCTAAAGATGCCTGTGAGATGTTCTACTGATTTTATTACCAGAAGGCTCTTGGAGACTCTTGGGCCAGGCCTTTTCTCCGAAAGACATGAGACATCCTGAGACAGGAGTGACACTGCAGACTGCCCAAAACCTGGAGGGTCTTTGAAGATCAATCCGGTGCGTTCAGCTGGAGTCCACGGTCGAATGAGTGGTCACACACAGATATACGCCCCGGAAGGTTTTCACATGGAACCAACAAAAGACCCTCCGTGGCCAAACGTTTTTCGCGATTGGAAGACGAGATCGTTTGCTTGAGGTTCTGTGTGCCATCGTCGAAGTGCAGCCCTACGGGTGGACTTTGCATGAACGAGGGCTGGGCGACTTGCAGGCAAAAACCTTTGTTTTTGGGCTGTGCCTGCTGGGACTACATCATTGAGGGGGTGGCATGGGGGCGCACCCTGGCTTGCCATCATCCCCTGTATGTGTGGGAGGTCTTCAGGCTGTGGGTGAACAGACGAAGACGAACCCCTCAAATATGCTACTTGTCAATGGCCGCCACCGTGGCTTTGCTATAGGATGCTTACGCGACATGTGCTTGCTTGAGGAAGTGTAAGTGCAAGTGTTGTGTACAGATGTTTATGGTTTGTTGCTTGGTTTTCTCCTGTGGTATGTTGTCCTCCTGCCCAGACTGCATGAAGCACACCAGGGTTTGTCGTAGAGTATGTCGTTACTGCCGGTGTCGAAAGATGAACCCATCCAATGAATAGTAACTTGTGGTAGACCCTGATGTTTATATTTTTATGTACATATTGTTGAACAGAATCAATTCCTGAATTATTCTATCCATTCTGTTCTAGAATGGGTTTTCCTTTCCAGACACCAGCAGTATGCCCGCCTCCTGGCATTGAATCACATCGACCCGCTGAGACCGCTTGTCCGGCGACGTTCAAGAAGCCTGTGTGCATCTTCACCCGCATGGGCTGCTCAAGGCCCTACTCCATGCACCTCGGGTTTAGGACATGGACCGAGACACCATGGGACACTTACGAAATGATTTGCTATATTTGGATGAGATGTAGATGGGCCTTCTAGAATCTATGTAGTTTCTTTGGGCATGGGAATTGGAGAAGTTGCCGGGCAGGAGTTTGGATGGGGCCTTGATTTATGTCAAGTATTGACATGTGACATGCAATATATATATATATACATATAGTAATTAGATGTAATTAGTTTGGGAGTCAAACACTTGGTGCCATCAACTTTCATTGTCGGATCATTTTCCTTGCTTGGACATTTGAAGATGTTTGTGTTTGGAAGGGCTCCACCCTCCCATGCTGCAAGACCTCATGTGGTGTTTCTTGCTCATGTGAGTTGACCACCTCTTCATGCGCAATCCGGGCGTCCTGTCAATTACATGGTTTTATGGCCGAGAGGCCTAATGCATCCTAGTGCTAGTATGGGTGGGCCGGAAGTTTTCCTCCATTTCTCTCATTTCTCCAGCCATGAGTTGAGTGCGGCAACCCAGAGTGCATTGCCTCTTGTAAGGAGAATTGGTTGCTTGGAAGTTCTACAAGTCACATAGTCTATATATAGCTTGTAGATTCATTGTAGATGCTTGTAGCTCCAGTGGAATGGCAGATTCCGGTTGACCAAGAACGGAGTTTATTTTTGCAGGCAGTACCAAGTACTTTGTAGACCCCTGTGCTCATCCAAACCGATCCCTTACTTTATTTGACCCTCCCAAACACGAAGGGCCAGTTGAACTTATCACACGTGTCATTGAATGATACGTATCGTGTTCACAATAGCTTGACCTCACACAATATATTCGCATATATTCACGATATTCTGTAAATATATTCGTGATGACTGTGCTCTGACTGCAGTATGGTTGGCCATCCCAGCTCTATATCCGCCGAAAGGTTGGGGTCTTCCTATTGCCTAGACTCTTGGCTGCGTGGGAAGAGCATTGCTCATGCCAAGTCATCAACCCTTCAGAGCCTCCTGCAAAACCATGAGTATGCCGTAAAACTTGCAGAGATGTACCCTGAAAGAAAATCTGATCAGCATTGGCGTTGACGGTCGACATGGCCAGCACCATTCAATTAGTCTGGTGGCCTACAATATTGTATAGGTGCAGAGAAAACAGTCGTCGGCCATTGGAAGAGGATATACAACTTTTAGGAAACGTAATTACTTGCTGATGCTTGGAATCGGTAAACCATGGAAGTGAACCTGTGTAGCTATCGACTTAGGAACTTAGAAGATCAGGAGTTTGTGCTAGGTGGGAAGTATAGTGGTTGGCAATTGAACATCCAGGAATGGAGAACCCCCAGGAGTTGTGTTTTAATGTAGTTTAAGATTCTACAATCGAACCCCCAAACGCTACTTCTGCAAGGCCTTCTCAAAGCAGCACCGCGCTTTCAGTTCCGACCGGCTTCCGGTATAGTCTCGGTCCACCTTGCCAGCTACAAAAGCGCAGGGAATGCAGCCCATTGTTCCTTTTCCGTGGGTTTGTTCCACCTTCCAAGGAAACATGTTGCATTGCAAGCTGCCTGGAACCCAGGCTATTACTGGAAAACAGGTTCTCGTTGAGACCCAACAATGCCTACTAGTTTCCCCTGGAACAAAACTAGCAAGGTAGGAGTGCAAACATTTAAGGTTTTCAAGGATCGGAACCTGGAGCAACTTCGGTCCCAGTCCCCAGTGCTCAAACAGAGGCTCGATACATTTGACGTTCTCAATGCTGACTCCTGTGCTTTTAAAGAGCACCGTTTTGACTTGCTCTTTTCTCGCACAGCTGTGTCGCAAGCAGGCAATTTTTCCGACAACCGGGCCTCTCGATATGGGGGAATGAACATTGAGTTTATTGTACTGTACCTTTAAGAACATTAATGTACATATATACATATTGCCTTTGTCCGGAATCACATCCACATACCATTTGTGAGTTTGCTTTGGAACTTAGGAATTTTTTTTTTTAATTATGGGTGAACCACCAATGAATCATGCAAAAAGACCTGATCTGTCACGACCCATGATCACCATGGATGGACCATCTTCACCAAGCCGCGAGCAGCGCAGCGCGCAGCGCATCGCCCAGGATGCCGGGAACGCTTTTTGCGCGGGCGATGCGGACTGCAACGTGGACGCGTGCTATTTTGCCTGTATGGAGCAGGATGGCAATTGCAATAAGGCGGCTCCGTGCACACAAGTGCTTCTCATTCACCGGGTTGTGACTGGAAGGGGACGGATTTGTCTCCCAGGCCGGGCTGTATGTCGACAGCCAACAGCCTTTGGGCAGTCATGGATGCGCTGTAGTTCAACTTGCAAAAATGCGCATGTTATTGATGGTATTGTTTTTTTCTTGCTACCAGCTACAGTACCACACAGAGGTATTTGTAGGTAGCGTAGGTAGTTGGTAGTTGGAGTCTGGCTTCGTTTCCTGCTTTTTCAGAGCGTGGAAAGTCGCTGATGCATTCCGTGACACGTGAACGTCGACGACTCGTTTGGCATCGTGGGGGCGGCTCGTGGGGGCGACTCGTCCTGCCAGTACGTTCACGGCGTGTTCCAACACGAGAAGAAGGCGGCGACTCAGAAGCTGAAGGAGATCTACACTGAACAGCTCCAGGACCATCGTTTTACTTCGCGTCGGTTCACGTGATGTGGGGCGCTGCCTCAGAAAGGTGCATCACATGTTCCCCCGTGTTCAGCTCGCTGCAGCGACGGCATGGAGGGGACTTGCAAGACAGGTCAGCAAGTTAAGCAAGAGTTTTTGGGACTGGGTTTTAGTTTGATGGAGGGTTTGCTATTAAAAGCCTTTGGAAGGCGGTGGCCTTCAATGTGTTCTGGCAAGATGACCCAGAAACCAAGATGCTTTACTCGCATCCCTGGCACGTTTGGGTGTGTTTGGATTCAACGTAGCTAGCTTTGAGGTCAGATTTGGACCGGTCCTTTTGAATATTGTGGTACACGGTGAGCATCTTCAATTCTTGCCCGGCACAGCGACGAAATCGCGTTTATTCATCCCCTTTTTTGCTCATGGGTCATCTTTGCTTCTGAAAGAAAGGGCTCCCATCCTCGGGCCTCATGCCTCCCAACCGCTCTGCTCTCCCGTCCACGTGCCCCGTGAAACGGGGGCCTCCCAAGCACCGCCAGAACGTGACACAGTTTATGGCCGTCTTGAAGGTTGGGGACGCGACGGGACGGGAGGAGCTTGGAGCTGGGAAGTCTAAGATCCGATCCTGCGGATCGGAACGCACTGGATCTCACTAACCATTGGACCACCTATTTCCATGACCTAGAACAAGGTAGGTCGCAACATAGAACCTTCCTGTTCAATGGTCGCGGCTGCTAACTTGGTACTCATGTAGCCCAATATGCCAGCAATGTAACAAGGTAGATGTAAAAACTGTTGCAACACAAGCATGCCGCGCAAATCATGGATCCCCAATTTCACGTGTCCGATGGGCCGAATGGTTCGCATTTCCTAAGCTTTCGGGGATGCATACTAGTGTCTCAAATCCACTGATCTCAGCAATGAATTTGTCCCAGACGAGTTTAGACCGTGGTCTATCTACCTAATACGAGTATGCTCAATATAATGCATCGTTCCTGAGAGCAACATTATATAATATCAAACAATGGAAAGAGTTGTCAAGGCATTCATACGACTATGAATGTCTATCTCCCTGAAGTTTCCTGAACGACAGCTGCATGTTGGGGACAAATCGTTGGGCTTGTGATTTTGCTTGCCGGAACATCCTGAATCCTAACCCAAACAAATTGTGGGTTCCACTGTATGCTTGAAAGGTTCACGAAACTGCTCCCCTGTATTTTACAGAAAAGCACACCCCGTTCAAGAAGCCAATATATCAGTTGTTATATAATCTCGCGTATTATATTTAACAGCGTCCCAAATAACATGTAGTGCGGGACAGCAATCTTTCCACTTTGCTGGATGGGCGTGACAGACTGCTCAAACAAAAGTTGCAGCACACCATTCAAAACAGTTTGCCCTTGATATGGTATTTTGCGGGCTTTTCCAACCAATTGAGCCGGTTGCCGCTCATCTTCCCTCATGCCGAAGTGTGTAGGACTATGCAGACAATGGGCTCCCACAGAATGCCTTTGGCTCCTACCGGAAAGTCGGCTACCGGATGCCCGCTTGTACCGGCAAGACCGCGAGTCAACAGGTGGGGGAGATTAGGGATGAGAGTGTGAAGTGATGTGTGGGCTCTAGAAACGTATGTTGCATGAGAATGGGTGTGGGCTGATAAATGTCCTTTTTATGTCCACATTAGCAAGGGAATGGAGGGATCATTTTATGAACATTTATGTCCATAGCTACTTGATTGAACATTTGCACTTCCATACACCAGAAACCGGGTCAGTGGGTTCAGATGCAAATGGAAAAGGATACATTCAGGTGCCCTTCATGGTAATTGATTCATCTTTGCTTTCTGTCTACTGTAACCTATAGGGCAACAGTTTTGCGGACATATGGTGCATTTTGTATGACTACTGTGGCTAGATGAATACAAGATGGTGTTTCCGCCCTTGGCATTTGCAGTCCACAGGACACCGACTACTTTTCCACGGTGAGTTTGCGGAAAAGGGCAGCTGCCCAGTCCGAGCAGTACCATTCCAACACCCAGTTCGAGGAACGTCATTTTGTTGGGGAAATCCGCTTCCTATCACTGCCCTGCGCATCTTGGGCCAGGTGTTGAAGCAATGCAAGAACGATAAATCCGTGAGGGGAACACCCTCCGTGCCCCGGTGTGGATTATCAGACGGGCGGGAAAGGGGACATGTTCGAAGCAACATCTATCATTTCAATTGGGAAGCAGTCCTTTTTTGGTGATATGTGTGATCGAGTTAGACGAGGATTTATCCTGCAGATTTGAGCTCAAGAAGGGAGGTGGACAGCAAGCTCAACTTCCTGATCATAAATTTCTTGGGGGCTGGGATTAGAGATGAAGGAGGACAAACGCAGGGTTGCACGGTGATTGACATCATCAAGAAGGTTGGTGGCAAGAGCCTAGCCAATGTGATGATCAAAGGATCAAAGGACAGTTGTACATCGGAAGTGATTGCGCCGACCTCAAGCGGTGGAAATTAGATTTACAAAAGGGCTGAGGAGAGAGGCAGGGTACGACCTGCGTTGCGAAGAGCATGAAAAGTGTCTTGTGGCACGTGGACGGTCAGATTTGATCCCGTGAGCAAGGGGAGAAATGTGATGCCGGACGCATGAAGAGATCAAAAGGGTTGGAGTTGCATGAGCGCATGAAGCACAGCGATGCAAGAAAGGCGGCAAAAGTTAAAGAGAGAAGGAATGAGAAGGAAAGCAGAGACAAGGAGCGTGTCCGAGGACACAGTGAATAAAGGGGTTACAAAGAAGAGCCGAAGAAGGAAGTCTGAGAAGGTTGGGAAAGAGTGTGGCTAGAGGAAGGTGACGAAGAAAAAGAGTCAGACAACGCACAGGCCAGTGAGGAGACGGAGGGCACTTCAGATGACCCCTTGGGAGCGGTGGGCCGCTCAAGCAGACGAAGCAGCAGGAATGGATGGTGGACCACTTGGAGAAGGAGCAACTGCGTCGGTTCCACCTGTGTATCCGAGCCGCGCTTCGTCCAAGTCGCAAAGAGCGCCCAGCCCAAGCTGCGGGCGGAAGACTGGCAGAAAGCACGCTGGAAGACTGGCGTTGCGGATGTTGCCGCGGATGGAAGCCGCGGTATACCGCGGGCTTGTTGGGGCCAAGTCAAGAACAAAGGCCCCGCCAGTGGCAATAGCGATGCCCTTTGTTACTAGTTACTAGTGGCTCCTTAATGCCAGAAGCTACTAATAGCTTTAGTTAAAGTCATGATGAGTTTGTGAGGACTTGCAAGAACCATGGATGGCTTGGCACTGTGCTGGAGGGCCGTGCAAGGGTCATTGAAAAGGACAAGGTCGGCAGCTTCCTTGGCTACAGCGCCGCGTTTTTTAGCAAACAGGGCAGTGACAGCATTCGATTAACTTTGTCCTAGACACAACACCATATATAACCCCTTTCTAAGCAAATCTTGTGATGATTGAGGAACTTCGCGCGGGAAAGACATTGCACGTAGGGGCTAGATCTCATCGCGCTGTTTAGGATGGCCGATGGGACGATCGGGTAACAATTACTGAAGCTTCGCCAATGAGCCAGAGGAGGGTGTGCAAACAGCTTCGAAAGGCCGCTTGACTTAGAGGAGCACGACGGCCGAGATTCACTATCGACTGTCACAAGGCATGTATAATTGTTACAATTTGACGGTCTCCAAGTTCGGTGTGAGGCTTTCTGGACCCTGCATGATATACCTTGGCCTTGGATTGGAGTAGCCCGTGCTTAATCGGCCCGTGCGAGATCAATCAACTTGGCCGATGGGGAGCGGCGAAGGGGCTCCAGCCTGTACGGGATCGTGCACACCTGATGGGGTTCCCGAAGTTGAGCACATAGATGGAAATGGTGCACTGATTGGATCACCTCCCTGCTGTTCTCATTGAATCGATTTTTGTTTGAGATTCATCCGCTGCCCAACCCAACTCGGCTATACACACCTGGGTTGGCAACTTGTTCAAGCTCTAGGTGCTGTGCTTTGGGAAGCAGGCACCCTTCCCTGATCCCAGTGGACGGGCTACACAGAAAGCGGCTACCTGGTACTTGTTGACCTCACCAATGGACGCGACGTTAGCACGTGGAAGGTGGAGTGCCACAAACACCGCAAAGCAAGATATTGACGAAGGAGCTCTGACCCTGGCCAAGTTCCAGAGTCAAAGTGGAGTTTGCGACAATGCCGGCTCGTCGGCTGGTGAAGCAGTCAATGGACGTTGCAGGGTACTATACAAGCTCCTTCCGTGACGTCCGTGAAAAGGTTGGCGCAAGGTGATTCCCTCCCAGTGCTCTGAACGTCAAAGCGATGAAATTCAGTCGATCGCGGGGAATTGCTGATGATTACGTCCTGGTCTTTGTGCCCC